TATGTGAAATTTCTGCAAGAGGACATTGTTTCCATTATAGTATTATTCTCTGACACGATTTTTTTTCTTCTAGGGGAGCTGATTTTAGATATGAAATCTTTTTTCCTCCTTTAAGAGTAACCGGGTGGCAGGGGTACAGGAAGCCCGCTGTGAATGTTGCGGGAACATGTAAGAAGGGAGGGCTGCGACGGAATACGCAATTACAAGTTTCTTTAAGTCCCTAGTTCATTGTGCTTTTACACATCTGGATAATTAACCAAGCATTACATTCTCTCTAGACTATTTTTACAAGTACAATATGCTCCCAACGTGATTTCCATTAGGCTGTTCCAAACATCCTTTAAGAACTCAGAAAGATTGCAGACTGAGATTGAAAACCACTGTTCAGCTGTGATGTTGAGACCTTTTCCTCTCGTGGGGGGAAATACAAGACTGAGAGCTGAATTCCGAGATCCTTCCGATGTAAGAGGAAAACTGGAGGCTTATTGCTTTTTTAAGCCCCAGGAATACAAGCATATACAAACACACCTTAATATCTCTGGTCCTCCTTGTCAGAGCCGAGCTCAAAATATGGTCACCATGGGAAAACGTGAGCCACACAACAACGGTGCTGGAAACTGCAGCTTGAAGCTTCTTTAAATATTAGGAAGGAATAATAAGGGCAGACTAAAATCCTGACGTGTCGATGGCTAACCTAATTTGAGTGATTGTGTTAGAAAAATACCTTTGTCTGGCTGAGGTCCTCATTCGAGGGTCACTGCTGAATTCTGAAACGATACATGTTCAGATAGTTAGTGGCCACGCTTTTCCTCTTTTCTTCTTTTATAATCGCTTTGATGCTGTTTCGAGCTTTTATGAGGCCAGGGTCTGATCTGCTGGTAGAAGGTTAGTGCTAATTCACAGGCTTTAGGAGCTTCGCTGGCCAGCTGCTGCCCACATTGATGAACACCAGCAAGAGATCGGAGAAACCACAGGGCTGATAGTTGTGCTGGTTGTTGTTCCCATCGTTGTTATAGGCAGGACTCAGAACAAAAGAAACAAGAGTTCATAAAATTACAGGATTGCGACTGGAAGTCCTAAGGGCCATAGAGATCATTTCTAATAGGTGAACAAACCTAAAGTCTCTCCCCAAAATATACGTCTCTATTCTATTTAAAATACATCCAGAAAAGAGAAAGCTGGGTAAATAAAACATTTGATTTATTGTCTGGTTGTCTTTGAAAGTGCTGTGGTGGTCAGAGATCGTTAAATTGAGAAATAAATGATTTGGGAAGAATAAACTAACCCGATCTTGCAAAATAAATAAATAAATAAATGTCTCCACAAGGAGAGTGAAAATAATTGAAATTTCATTATAATGTTTCAGTGTCTGTTTTCCATAAAATAATCCCATAATTGTCTACTGTGTGACAGCCTGAGCCACTCAACCAATGGAATGATTAATGAAAACAGCAGTGAAGGATTTGTCACACTGACACAGGGCACGGAAGTGTGTGATAGTCATTAGAAAGCAAAAATGAGATAAACATCATCGTTAGGAGAGCAGATGTGGACTGAACAGTGAGGAATCTGTTTTGGACATGGTTGTAGAACTGCCCGTGTTTTCTTTGAATGGCCAACTTAGCAAGCTTGTAGGGGATGAACCCAGGGCTGAGCCCCAGCTTGGGAGACCATAGACTTGTAGTCTATTCCAGGACCCTTGACTGAAATGTGATTTGATATGAGAGATGGGAGATGTGGAGGCAGCCAAGCCTAGATGGAATCCCAGCCAGGCACGTGATTGAAATGCATAGACCCTTGCTTTCATCGTTTTAAAACATAGGAAGATAATGTTAACTGTCAGGTGGCTCAAATTAAAGTGGGGGAAGTAGCCTGTTCATAGTAGATCATAGTAGATGCTCAGAAATTGAGTGGATGTTCCTTCTTAATTTCCTGCCTGGATATATCCCAGATACACATGATGGTCACCGGGGAGGAAAGGTGCCATAAAAATGTGGCTGTTTTCGCCTAAATTTGTCATCACCTTCAATAGAGCAATTTAAAGTACACACCCTTCCATCTCAGAAAGAGCCAAAGAGATGTCCTATCGCTAGGTCTTATAACAAGACAACTTAAGGGATGACCTCCAATAGAGAAAAAATGTTTAGCAGTAATGACAGATTAGTCATTCATTTCTCAAATGTGTCTTCATGGTCCTACTATGTGCTGGGCAAGGTACACCTTGTGAGAATAATAATCCATGAAATGGTAGACTTTACCCTATCACATTAAAAAAAATTTTTTTTAACATTTATTTATTATTGAGAGACAGACAGAGACAGAGAGAGACAGAGCATGAGCATGGGAGGGGCAGAGAGGAGGAGACACAGAATCCGAAGCAGGCTCCAGGCTCTGAGCTGTCAGCACAGAGCCCAACGCAGGGCTCGAACTCACAAACTGGGAGGGCATGACCCGAGTCGAAGTCGGACGCTTAACCAACTGAGTCACCCAGGCGCCCTTGCCCTATCACATTTGAGTCAAGTTTTCTGTAATATTTTTTCAAAAAGAAAGCATTAGCTTTACGAGTTTTGTGTTGTATTCATTTTCGTGCCTTCTCAAATATCTGCTGTGATGCCTTTGACAGAAGAGTTGCCTAATAAACCATTACTGAATGAAGACTGTACAATACAGGTTTACCACTGAAACGATTACTCAAGGAAATTTGGCCTCTTTTGTTCACCTTACAGAAATTATATTTGATAAATGTTCACTTATTGTTCCTCACAAGAGAATATAGCACTTTTGGGCAGCAAACTGCATTTCAGGCATGTAAACACATCTTCTTATTACCACAAGGACTCTAAAATGTGCTCATGGTTATGAATGGATATGTTGTTTTGAGTCAATACTTTGCCTAAATAATTACTACTCCACAGAGGTCTGCATCAGTGAGGAGATCTTGTATAAATTACGCAGATTACGTAATTGTATCATACCTTGGAAGGAGTGTCAGTTTGGGAGTAGGTCAGGGCAGGTTTGATTCTGATTCTGCCACTTAACATCTCTGAGCCTCAATGCCCTCGTATTGAAATGGGAGTAATGGCATCTCCAGCATGCGATTATGGTGTAGAATTAATAGAGCTCTCGGGGGCTCCCAGCCTTTGAACTACAGACCCCTGCAGAGCCTTGGAAATATTACAAAGGGTCTGCAGACTCATAAGTACCCACATGATGCCTTTAGTCTATTTTGAACACACATGCATTCGCGTTTTTCAAATGCAAGTAAGTTAATTCAAGACCATTCATTCAATGACTGTTTACTGAGCACTAACAGATAAACAGCATCAGGCACAGGGGACATACTAACCCGCAAAACAGACGTGGAGCCCTGTGTTCGTGGATCTTTGGTTCTAGTGTGGGTGGGAGAATAATGATGCACAAGATGAATTAGTTGAAGTGCATAGGAAAGTGAATAGGGGAGTTAACCATAAGGACACTGAGGGAAGAGCATTCCGGGTGGCGGGAACAACTAATGCAAAGGCCCTGGTGGAAGGGGCCAGTATGGATCACAATCATGATTATGGTCCAAGACGGGCTGGAGAGGAATGAGCAAAAAGGTAGCAGGGGATAGTGTTAATGAAGTGACCTGATCATGCCAATCCTTATGCCTCCAAAAAAGCACTTTTGCTTTTACTCTGAAGGAGATGAGAAGTCATCAGAGGGTTCAGATTTATGTTCTAGTAGACCACCATCTTGAAAATAGACTGGATGAGGGGAAGGACAACAGCGGGGGCAGGGGGCGGTGGTTAGGCCACTGCAATAATCCAGGCAAAAGTGGAGCAAACCTGGAGCAAGGTGATGAAATATGGGTATGTGAAAACACCGGATCCTGGACCTATTTTGACAGAATAGGTGCAATTGACAAGGCTCGCTGATGAACTTTTGTGGGGAGAGAGAGAGTGTGTGTGTGTGGCG